TTTCTTACTCCACTGGCAGAAAATTTTGACTTAATTTGAGTCAAATTTTCAGACTAACAAGACAAATAATCTTACACATTCTGAAAACAAGATAATTATTCTTACACAATCAGTTAGTAAATCATTCTCAAAACAAGATTTAAAAGACTTTTTGGCTGATATAAGGTTTAAAAACTTGGTTAGGTGAACATGTTTTGCAGTGTGCTCATGATCCCCTCTGACCTTCAGGATGAAATTCTCTCCATATTTTACCCAAAAAGTCAATCTTCTTTGTGCTTTTTACGAACAACTTTTAATTGTTTRGAACTCAGCAGCGGTGAAAGAAAGCACTTTTTGAAGTAGCTCGTTAATCTGGGAGCTTTCCCAGTTTATCCAGCCCCATCATGAATCATCCCGTTAAGTAATCCACTTTGAGCTTTAATCCCCGGCTGTTCTCGCCTCACCTTTTTTGGGTATTGAATTAAAGGCGAGTCAAACTCATCGTCTTGGATTATGTGTCCAACGATGAATAAATAAGTTTGTCCAAGTGATCCGAGTGAAATGAACACGGAGGGATTTCTGATTGGAGCCRTGAAAAAACGGATCCTTTTTAAGGTCTGAATTAAACACCTCCTGTTAGAAAAACCTCAGTTTATTTTAATTAAACGAGTTCAGCTTCATTTTGTTCTCTCTAACACCAGAATCTGATGGTAGGAAGGGGCACAACGGGGGGAGGAAGTTGTCAGAGGAAGTAGGTCAAGATGAAGAAGAAAGTGACAGAACAGCAGCAGGGAGGAGGACTGCACCCAGGGGAGACTGAGCMGAGGACCTGGGATTAAACTCAAACTGAACCAGAGTCCAAGAGGAGGTTCACATTTCCTTTTTTGGAAATGTTTTCAGCATAAATTCCCAATAATCAGTGAAATGAGCTGTTCTTCCCTCGGGTTTGGTTAATTACCTCCGCCAAGGGCGAGCTAATGTTTTCGGTCGCGTATGTCTGTCATTCTGTCTGCTGACAACATTACTCAAAAACTTGTGTACAGATTGTCAAGACATTTTTACTACGTGTGTACTGGGCCAAGTAACACACCATTAAATTTTGGTGATGTTCCGGATCACGATGCGGATTCAGGAATTTTTTTCTTTCAATACTCTGAGATAGGCAAAGCTGTGATGCTTTCACAGGGCTTCTGTAAAAAAAAAAACAGTGAGCTGCATTGGACAGCACGGACTTCAAACTTTATAAAAGTAATGTTAAAACCACATTTAATGATAATTCTTGCCATAATGTGCGCATTTAGATAACTTTTTGTGACCAGGAAGTGCGTGACTGCACCATGAAACCTATTTTTCTCATTTCCTCAAACACACCACATTTCCGAAACAACCAATCAAAACAATTTCTCGCTACTGAACTTATTCGACAAATGTGTTTCCATCTCTGCTTTTGCACGTTTACTCTTACAGGATGGGGGGAATTGGTCTTGGTGGAGGTTTGCACTCTGAGTGTTTCTAGTTTGCTCTAAATTTAGTTTGCTCAATTCTGCTTCTCCAGATGAAACMATCACCATGTTTTCTAAGTTTATTTTTCACTTCTAAGATGTAAAATCTGACCACCGAGCCTTGTTGGATGTGTCACAGCAGTCATTTTTGACGTGGAGCTCGTGGAGGAAGAATGATGGGAGTTATTGACCCAAATTGTTTGATGCAAGTCAAACCATTTTACTGGAATTCAGACGTTTTCAAAGAAAAATGTTTTAAACTCTGTACAGAAGAGACAAAGTGAACACGACAACAGAAACGACTGCTGGACCAACTTGTTCCGTGTTGAACAGAAGTCACTTTAAACTGAATTAATATCTAATGAATAAAAAATCAGCCTCCATCTGCTTGTTCACAKATTAACACTGTAACATCTCCAATTAGTTCGTGCTCAGAACATTTAATGCATCTCAAGTCAATTAGCATTCATTTTATTTGCAAGCTCATTTCTAAGCAGCTTAAAAACTAATTCTGGGAGCAGAAAACTTGTTTTTTTATTTTTTTACACAGAACTTTGTCTCATTTGTCAGTTTGTGCACAAAGTCCCAAAATAAATACAGAAAGCAAAGAATTACAAATCCTAAAAACCAATAAATATTTTATTTATAGTAAATGTTTGTATATTGTTTGTAAGAATTTGATGACAACACATAAATTATTAGATTTGTTTCCCAGTCAAATTCCCAATAACTCATTTGTTTTTTTCATCTTCATAATTTTGAGCATTTAACATTTTAAAAAAAGTCACTGAATTAATAGGTGATAATCTGAAGATGTTTTCTGTTTATTTTAAATATTTCAAGTTTTTTGATTTTACTAAGTTGCACTTAATATTTGCAATCAGATTCTTTGACAGATCTCGTAACTTTACAATTTTCTGTTTGTTTTTTATCAATAAAATTATTTTGAGATAATTCCCATCTAGTGTCACTCTCTGATGCAAACCTCCCAAACCCAAATTTGCCTCCAAAGATCAGAAAATATATCGTGTTTTGCTTTTACTTTTTTCCAAATCAGTGTGGAAAATGTGACATAAATCAGATTAAATCCATGTTTGCAGCAGTTCAGGTCCAAACAATCCAGAAGAAACCTCTAATCCAACATGTGGTCCGATGAATTCTGTCTTTTTTTTAATTTCATGTATGTTTTTTTCCTGATCTACCAGCTGTGAAGTGAARCAATGTCTTCATCAGAGGAAGATGAATGTTCATAAAGTGGTTTTGCACTAAATGTTGGTTCTTAAACTCCTCGTGGTTAAAAACTTTCTGCATTTTGACGGACATGCAAATGAGTGAGCCAGCTGCCAATCATCTGCATGGACCCCGACAGCTTGGATTAGTTGCATGACAGTCGACATGCAAGTAACACGTGTGTTTCTAATGCTGCTTTGTTTGCTTGTTTCCTCTCTCTTCACTGCAGAGGTCAGCAAGGCAATGCCAGGTGAGTTTAAAGCAAAACTTTCAAGTATTTGTGAAAATGGTGATTTAATTGAGCCGATTGCCAGATAATTTAATTATTAGACTGTTTTTGTTGGAAGATTCACAGCTGCTGTTTGATCCACTGCAGTCTGTAGAAACAACTCTTTATTAGATTATCATTTTTGATTTTCTGAGCATCAAAATAATTTTATAATTTTTAGTCAGTTATTAGACAAAATCACAGGATCGTCTAAACCAGTGGTCCCCAACCGTTTGACTTGTGTGTCTCCTGAGCCATTTTCTCATACCACTACCCCTTCAGTCAAATGTAAAGTTTTTCTAAAACTATAATGTACAACAACTGATTATTAAATGAAAATTATTTATTTAACCCCCCAGGAAGTTTATTTAATATTTTTTCGACTCAAATTAAACCTAACGATAAAAACGTTGTAATTAAATAAATAAACCAGGTAATGACAGGTGCAGAAAACAGCAGTGTCCCAAATACATTGTATCGTCCAAAATACATCAGAAACTCACCTAAATGAGCAAATTCCTTGATAACATGTTTTATACTGGATTCCATTTTGTTTTAATTCTGTGATTCTGACTGCAGTTTTTGCATTGCAGAAATCATAGGGCCCTACATATCTCAGTCCTATTTAATTATTTATTTTATTATTATTATTATTTTACACACCTGGGAAATTTTTCCACATATCCCCTGTAATACGCTCGCTTACCCCTGGTTGGGAATCATTGGTCTAAACTCTTAAGGCCTTTCTCAAACATTTGTCCTGAAAAAATGTTTTAGAGTTAAATCGATTTAAATAAAAAGCTCTACATTGAGGCAAACTTAAACATTATTTAGTTAAGATTTATACTTTTAAAAACGTGATATATATTCTTTGTTGCAATTTTCAAAGTCAGACCCTAAAATATCTTACTGTACTGTAACAATGTAAAGTAAAAAATCTTTACTGTAAGGCCAAAATATTTTATCTTTTTGAATTTAATATACTCCCTAGAAAACAACAACAAAATACATCTAAGCAAACTCTGGCAATAGTTTTTATTTTTTTACTTAATCAAAAATGTGTTTATCAGAGTTAATTCTAGTCAACAATCATTTTCTGTGCCTAAAATAAAGTTAAGCAAATTGTTTTTGGTTTATTTTAACTCTTACAAACCCACAACTTTAAAATGTTCATTAAAAATCCAAATTTTTATTAAAGATTCTGTAAATCCAACAATTATGAACTGTGCAACTCATCTTATTTTCAAGCCTGCAAAATGTTTTACCATGTATAAAATCTAATTAAAACATTGCTGTAATCAATAAATTGTTAAAGTTTTTATTCTAAAGAGCAACCAGCAGCCACAAACTCAGATAAACAGTTAAAAAAATAAAAATATAAAGTTTGTACATTAGGAGGCAGGCTTTAAATACTGGATGTATGATTCTGTAAAATCATTAAATTGATGTTTTTAATCAGTTGACTGCAGTGAAGTTGATGACTGTTGTTCAAAACTTATTGCTTTTGCCTCCAAAGATTCTAAAATGTGCAGTTGCTGCAGGTAAAAGCTGCAGGTCAGTGAGAGTTCTCAGGTGAAACGTGTGGGTTTATTWAAAAAAAGCCTCCTGTTCAGACACGGGAAGCTTTGGAAAACGTTTGTGTTCAGATGTCATGCTTCTCCTGAGAAAAGCATGTTTCATCACAATACTACAGAGTATTGACACTAAGTGTTCCCTTTCCCATCTTTCCCTTTTCTGTCCTCCTCAAGGTTTTGCACATATGATGGCAGAACAAGGTACGCCCCTTTTTACCTTTTCTTTTCAGCTCTGTGTGATTCCAGCGTGAAGCTGCATGTTTCGTGTGAATTGTCCTTTAAAAAATGTGATTTTCTTCTGCTCCACGAAGAAAACAAACACAGGAAAAGGTCCATGTCAGTTTAACATCAAATCTGCCTTCATCAGAAATATTTGAAGTCAAAAATGGAGTTCAGCAGTTACAGAACTGCATCAAACCTTTTATATTTCATCCTGACACACATATTCAGATTTGTGATAGGTATGTATAGATATGAAAATTTAGACGTTCAAACAGAAAAACAAACAAACCCAAAACAAATCAAATTTCCATGTAATACAACTCAGCTTGGGAGTTTTTTTAATATAAATGTATCATTATTGGTTATTGTTTATATTTGTATCCAAATACAACAAAAACTAAAATATATTTACTTAATTATTTAAATTTAAATAAATTAATTCATTTAAATTTAGACAAAGGCAAAGCTAACTGTCTGCAGAGAAATGTACATCTAAATGTCTGCAGATGAATGCCGAGCTCACCGCTTTCATCTGCGGACATTATCTTTGAGTCTGTCTGCAGACGAAATCAAAGCTAACCATCTGCAGACAAACTCAGAGCTAAGCGTCTGCAGACAAATGAAAGGTAATCTTCTGCAGACAAACTCAAAGTTAACAGTCTGCAGACAAGCTAACCGTCTGCAGAAAAACTAAATGCTAAACATCTGCAGATGAACGCAAAGCTAACTGTCTGCAGATGAACTCAGAGTTAAGCGTCTGCAGACAAATGAAAGCTAATCGTCTGCAGACAAACTAAATGCTAACCGTCTGCAGACGAACTAAATTCTAACCGTCTGCAGACGAACTAAATGGTAACCGTCTGCAGACGAACTAAATGCTAACCGTCTGCAAACGAACTAAATGCTAACCGTCTGCAGACGAACTAAATGCTAACCGTCTGCAGACGAACTAAATGCTAACCATCTGCAGACGAACTAAATGCTAACCGTCTGCAGATTAACTAAATGCTAACCGTCTGCAGACGAACTCAGAGCTAAACGTCTGCAGAAAAACTAAATGCAAACCGTCTGCAGAAAAACTAAATGCAAACCGTCTGCAGATAAACTAAATGCTAACCGTCTGCAGATAAACTAAATGCTGACCGTCTGCAGACGAACTCAGAGCTAACCGTCTGCAGAAAAACTAAATGCTAACCGTCTGCAGACAAATGAAAACTAATCGTTTAAAGAACAGAAGACGTGTTGGTGCAGTTTTGCTTTGTGAAAGTTTTCCGCTCTGTAATTCCTGCTCTCTGACTCCTTCATGCCTGCATGTTTTTAGAGCTGCATGAGCGATGCTGTGTTCACTGATTAACCCTCGTGGTGTGACGTTTGGTGTCTGCTGGATCATGAACTGACTCTTCCTCCTCTTCTTCCTCCCTGTCTGCGCTCTCTGGGCTGTGGACCTCTCTGTTCCGCCTCCTCCTGCTCTTCTAGCTAAAAGCAAAGGTACAGCTTTTTCGAAATCTTTTCTTTTCCGCCTGTATGAAAAGCGACGCTTGCTCTGTGAGTGTCTGAGTGGAACACGTTTGATGTTTTAATGTGTTTACTTGTCTGTGTTCAGTGTCTCCTCTATAATGCGTTTTCACTGAGGGTGCTTGTATTAAGCGAGTAATTAAGCTAACAGCAAATGAAAGCGGGAGAAAAGAGTTGCTTTGTGTGTGTGTGTGTATGTGTGTGTGTTCTGTGATTCAATGGGCTTTGAGTGTGCACAGGAACGTTGCACACTGGATCAGTTTTCAGAACAACCCTCTCCAGGCTCTTTCTGTAAACCGGAGTGTCTGTTTTAAACTGAGTTCATCACTTGTGTTCTGCAGGATTTACGACAGTTCAGATGTTCTTTTCATGACCAACAAATCACGCTCGACTGTTTGGGTTGTACAGCGGGTAAAATAAGTATTGAACACGTCACCATTTTTCTCAGTAAATATATTACTAGAGGTGCTAATG